TTTTTTCGGGGGCGCAGCATGGGCGAGCCCCGGGCGCGCTGTGCGTCCCGTGAGCCGCCCGGTTCCGCCGCGACCGCCTCGGCCCCCGCCGCGCCGCGCGGCGGCTACCGCCGTCATCCTGCGAGGTGAGTACGCCGGGCCGCGGCCGCCGACCCGGACCCCCGCTCCATCGGGCGACCGCGACGGGGCGCCGCCCCGCCCGCCGGACCCCTGCGGCCTCCCCTCCCCCCGAGCCGGGCGGGACCCCGGCCATCCTCCCCGCGGCCGGCAGTCCCAGGGCCCAGCCCTCCACGTCCCGGGCCGTTCCCACCTGCTCCGCTCGGCCTTTCACCGGGCCGACCCCTGGTCCTCGGCATCCCCCCCTCCACTCCTAGGTATCTCTCCTGCCCACGGCGCCGGACCGCGAGGCCCGCCTGACCTGGCACTGTCCCCCACTTTCGTCCTCGGCCAGCCCCCCACCCTCCCCGGAGGGAGGCCTCCAGCCCTCTCTCTCATCCCGAGCGTTTTGCCTCGGAGCGATACCTTTGCCTGCGACCCGCTCCGTCCCTGAAACCTGCCCTCTCTTCTTTGCTCTAGACCCCGGGCCCCCAGTCTCCCCCAGAGACCCTCTGCCCCCAGCCACGGCGCTGAAAGTGAGCCCCCTCCCCACCTCCTGTCTTCCAGCTCTTCTCCATGGAGCCAGAGCCGTCGCCCTGGCCCTGAGCCTGCACCCCTCCCTGCGCTCCCCTCCCCACTCCCCTCCGCGCCTCTTTGGTCCTCCATTTCCTCCTCACCTCACCTCCCCTACCAAGCACCTGCCGGTCCGCCTCGGGACCCCAGACCCCGAAAGGCCCCTCACCCTCCTAGGCCTCCTCTGACGGACCAAACCGCCATCCTCTGCGGAAGCCACCTGACCCTGCCACCCACCCCTCCGCTGAGGGAGGAATCTTCAGGGTGGTGCTTGGGCGCGTGGGCTCCAGGGAGCCCTTGGGCGGGGGAGGGCGCTTCGGTGGGGTGTGCGAGGGTGCCCTATGTTTCCGTGGGCAATTGCTGTTGTGGGGGTACCGCGCGGCCAGGAGTGTGAGTTGCGTTATGCTTGCCGGAGCCGTTGTGGGAGCGTTGTGGGTGTGTTTCTGCCAGTGTGTGAGTGTGCACACGTGTGTACCCCGCATCCCTGTGCGGGGGGAGCCAGGATTCCCTCTGCCTCCCTCCTTCTCTTCTCGACTCCTGGCTTCCGTAGCTGGTCCGGACAGGGAGGGCTGAGTAGGGCAGGGCAGGAGGAGCACTAGTACTCCAAGCACACTGGTGCACGCACACTCACACTCACCTCTGCACACTCACGCA